TCAAATTGAACTGAATTTTTTGAAAAATTAAATTGAATTGATTTAAATGTTTGGTTCGGTTTGAAATTGGTTTAGTTCGGTTCGGTTCTTGAACTGATTTCTAAAGACTAGTTCAGTTCGGTTCTTGAATTAATTTTTAAAAACTAGTTCAGTTCAGTTCTTGAATTGATTTTTAAAAATTAGTTCGGTTCTTGAACTGATTCTTTAAAAATCATTTCGTTTTAAGAATTGATTTTTAAAAATCAGTTATTTTATATACAATTCGGTTCAATTCACATTTTAATTCAGTTTTTTTGATTCTTTTGCACCCACTTAATAATCATACATGCATATGCATTATGCCATATATGGTTTCTTAATAAATATGAAGATTGAATGAAAGACTTTTTTTTTTTTTTGTAATAAAATGAAAGACTTTCTCTTTTTGAAGACCCGCTGTATCGTTGTATTAAAATCGTAGACTGTAGTTAATAGATGCTGCTTTGGTATTTAGTTTTTGGTGTTAAGGTTTTACAGTTATATAATTTCAGCTTTTAAGAGAAAGAAGTCTAACAATAATAAAATTGAAGCCCCACCTCTTCCTTATGTAAAGGTCTTCGTAGTTGGTGGTCGGTTGCTCTGAACATGTGTTATGGTTATTCAGATTTTAACTACCCCATCAAATTGCTTGACAAAAACTTTAAGAAAAGCACCGAATTGCTCACTATTTAGCGGGATACTTTATGGTTTTATAAGAGTTATATTATAGGAAAAGTGATTGTGTAATGTTATAGAGATTCGTTTTGCGTGTCTTAATTTTTTTTTTGCTTTAAAAAGTGCAAGTCCCACAAAATATTGTATGTATAGGAAACTTTTTTGTGTCATGTGACATGATAGATGCAAATTCCATAGTTTATTACTTTTATATATATAATGGAAGTGATATATTTACAAATTTTTTGTTTACAAACTACACTATATATTCCTAAAAGTATACTAAGTTACACTATGTATTCTTAGAAGTACATAGTGTAATTTACAAAAATTTATAAAAAAAAATCTATAAACAAATCCTTCCCCTGTATAAAAAAAATCTTTTGATGATCATTCGAAGTTTGATTAAAAAAACTCAAAAAGAAAAAATTAATATATCAAAGTAGGGAAAAATTGGCTATCTGTCAGCACATATATTTAAAAAATGGGGAAAAAGTTTCTAATGTTACTTTAGACAGTTTTGTCTAATGTTCATCAAAACGACGTCGTTTTGGAGTTGAAAAATCAAAAAATTAGAATGATAAAGACTATTATAACCCTGAAATAAATTAAAATTACAAACACACCATGATTTCCTCTCCAAAACGACGTCGTTTCGGTGAACATTAGATAAAGTTATCTAAAGTAACTTTAGAAAAAACGATCCCTTAAAAAATAGTCTCGTTTAAATTAAAAATCTTGTTTAGGGACAACATTATTTACATTAGTATAATTTATTAGATATTTTAAATCATTAAATGTAAATAGATAAATAATTAAAATTTAGTGTGAGACTTTTTATTTTTAACTGATGTAAAATGATCTGCCCTATTCAATTATAGTGTATATATTGCTAAGCAGAGTTTAATTTCATGATTTTTTATATATATTTCAACTAAAATATGGAATTATAATTATAGTGATATTTTTATTATATTTACAGTTTTATTTTTGAATAAAAAATTAATTAGTTTTTTAAAAGTATGCATAAATTCATATTGTTATACTATTATTTATCATTAAAAAAAGAAAATGGATTGTAAGAAATCAAGGTGTGTATTTATTAATTAGTTTTTTTATTTTTATTTTTATATCGTTTCACTGATGGCGCGTCGTGATGAGTCCACATTCAGTCACCCACTCTCGGCCAAAATTCCTCTCATCCCTCAGGCCATTCAATCATACACTCAAATTGTTAAAATATTCAAAAAAAAAAATTGGTAGGTTAAAATATTAATTTTTCGTTTCTCTGGATTAAAATATTCCTTGGTGTGTATATTTTCCAGCTGTTTAATATGTCCATATTTTTCTATTCGATTTTTCTATTTTTCTCTGAATGCATACTCGATAAAAGTCAGTGCAGAGAACAAACAATATATTGTGGACTTACTTACATTAAATATTTTTATTTATATCAAGTGTTTCTAGCATGACTTAAATATAATATCTACATTTGAACTATACGAATCCAAAATGATTCTATTAAGTTGAGATGACCGGCGATTTGTTTATTGTGAGTGAGCAACTAGGTTTATATCTTGATGCAGTTTTAAAGTAAGTTTTTTATATTAATTAATTAATTAAAGTAAAATAAATAAATATTCCAATGACGCAGTTATGAAGTGAGACATTTTTATATACCATAAACTTCTTTTCTCATTAAAAAAAAGAAAGAAAAGAAAATAGCAATGATATACCATAACTTGGATCTAAATCTCAGATTTTTCATTAGTAGGCGATAGATAATCCTGTTATAAATTCCTGTTGAGGTTAGTAATTTATCCTGATATTAGAGAATAAAGTCTTCTTTTATCTTATTTTTTTAACGAACACAAGACTGAATAAATATATTAGTTAAGGAAAAAAGCTAATAAATGTTTTTTAATTAGCTTTTTTCCCCGAACTGCTCCCACAACTTCATACAAGTAAATATTGACAAAAGATTACAGCTAATAAATGTTTTTTTTTTTAACGAACACAAGACTGAATAAATAAATTAGTTAAGGAATTTATTATAAATAAATCCTTTCATAAAAAGTTCCAGTTTCTAAATATACAGGTCTAACAATTTTATTTTATTTTTTTTTTTTTTGGAGATACACGTGAAAGTAAACAAACAAACAACTAAGTTCTTACAAATTTTGTATCGCTTATAATTTTACGATTCAATAGAGCTATTTAACTAACATTAAAATTAGGGGTGTCAATATGGGTTGACACGACACGAATTCGACACGACACGAATACATCAACACGAACACGACACGAATTTTCATTCGTGTCAAAATCTTCAACACTGACACGACACGAATTTTTTGCGGGTTGACACGACACGAATAACACGCAAAATAGGGGACAAAACGGTAATTGACAAAAAATTTAAAAAAATAGATCGAAAATAAATAAAAAATAAAAAAATAATAATAAAAATAATTAAAAAAAAATAATTAAAAATAATATGGGTCGACACGAACACGAATTCATAAACACGAACACGACACGAATTTTTTGCGTGTCATTTTTTCCAACACGAACACGACACGAATTTTTTTACGGGTCAACCCGAACACGAATTTTCGTGTCGTGTCGCGGGTTGACCCGGGTGTCAAAACCCATATTGACACCCCTAATTAAAATACAAGTTTAACATAAACGGATCATCTTGTGTGTAATTTAACATGATCATGTCATGTGAGAGGATTTTAATTAGAGATGACAAAACAGGCTCGGCTCGGCGGACCAACCCGCCCCACCCGTTAAACGGGGCGGGGCGGGCTGAGTTTTTCAACCCATCTGAAAAGCTGGACGAGTTCATTTTTTGACGGGTTGATGGCGAGCCGAAGCGGGTCAGTGTAAAATAGGCTCGGGCTGGCAGGCCATCCCGTCCAACCTGCCAAACGGGACGGGGCGAGCAGAGTTTTTCAGCCCACCTTCAAAAGCGGGACAGGGCGGAGCGGACTGCTCACTTTGTCATCCTAATTTTAACCATTAATAATTAAATCAACGGTGATGATTGTGTAATTTCTTATCTTTATATTTTTTCTCTCCTCCCTTATCACCATTAACTCACTCATATATTATTATAATTATCCCACATAACATGATCATGTTAATTAGCACATAAAAACATCTATTCCTGAGATAACACTTCAACCACACAAAAAGTTGAAGTCAATCTATTTGATAAGATCAGATTGCGTTATGTCAGAGTTAATCTTATATTCAAGTTGAAGTAATATCTATTTAAAGAATGTGAAAATATACTGCGGTTATATTTAAAAATTACATCAATTCGTATATTCATGAGAAAAATATTTGTTATTTTCAAAGATATATAATTATATTTTGGGAGAGATTATAATTATTATATCTTGCTATTAAATCTTAACCATTAATTTTCATCAATTTAATAATTGTAATTTATTAGGTCATACTTATTAATTAATTATTAATTTCTAATAAATTGTAACTATTAGATTAACGAAAATCAACTGTTAAGATTTAGTAGTAAGAGATAATAAGAAAAAAGAGATAATAATTATAACCTTATAACTTCTCCCATGTATCTTTTTAAGTGAGAGAAAAATACAAAATAATATTTTTTTATTTAAAATTTAAATTAAAAAGACCACTCACTCTTTTTCCACTGATTTCCATTGCTTACTTTTTTCTATCATTTGAAATACACAACTCCACGTCAGATAAACATCGAATCCATTTAAAATTTCATTTCTGTTAATTGTTTTTATCGATATATTATCTATAAAAATTATAACTTGGTCTAACTTACATTTCGGATATCGGAATATAATAACTTCTTGACAGCAACAACACAGGTTTCAGATTTCATAAAATAAACGCAAACAAAAATTTTCTTATTTTAAAATAAATTATTACAAAGTTGAATGTCATACTTTGGACATTTCATCATTTTCAACTGTAAACTTTTATTTTATTTTTAAATAGTAGTGATGATAACGTGGTACAATTATGCAACAACAAAATATGGAAGCTAAACTGGAAGCAAATCAAAGCCAGAACAACGCATACCAGGTAGTTGAGGAGGAGCGCAAAACGTAATGCGATAAATAAATTTTCTAAATCTCAAATTCATATTAAGTTACGTGATAATCTCAATTAATATTTAATTTATCTAAAACAATTTAATAATTATTTTCGTTTTTTTTTTTATCTCTCTACACGTAATCCAAAACTGTTAAATCAATCGCAGTTTTGAGGAGGGGTGTTTCAAGTCCGAGTAGGAGAGTCGGTGGACGACACCATCTCTTTTTCTCTTTCTATTCTCTTCAGTTTCCACATCGCCGATCCCGCCGTTTCTCCGGCCACCTTCCGGCAGTGCCGCCGCTGGGAATGCCACCGTCGACAGCCACTCCTCATCAGGTACGCTGTCTATGCGCGTCTTGTCTTGCTTTTTCTGCTTCTCTGCGCCTTTTTTCAGCAAATTCCTTTTTTCGCCTCGATCTCGCTGTTCTCGAATCTTCTGCTTTTTCCTCTTTCGCAGCTTTTTGGCCACCGGCAATTTTTCGAACTGATATTCCGCTTTCGTGATTTCCTTCTTCCTTAGCTGTTTGGGATTCGAGAAGAATGTCAGTCTGTTATCAATTGAACCTTTGGGCCTTTGATCACTGTATTGTGTGTGTTTCTATTCTTTTTCCAAATCTGAACTGAACTGAACCAACGATTTTTTTATTTTTGAGTTGATTTGATTATTCGTGTCATTTCGCTGCTATCTTTGAACAATCTGGGTTGTTGTACTTCGGGAAAGTGTTGTCTGTGTTACCTTCTCACTCTCTCTTCTGCGCTTGTTAATGTTTCTGGGTAGCTCAACTGATAATACTGAGGTTTGACATTGAAATTTACTGTGCAAGTTCACACTGAATCAGTTCTACAGAGCTTGTTCTTGTTGTTCTCTAAGTATCCTTATATTCCTGCCTGTGTTAATTGCATTGGTGTTCATTTACTGTTTGGATCTTGTGTCTTTCGGTGCTTCTGTTGATTGGTTCTTCTTCTTTTAATGTGTTTGGTTATGTATGTATGTATTTTTTTATTTTTTTTGCCTCGTTTATGTCCCCATCGTTTGGGTGATGTTGTTTATGTGTGCATTTTATTGCTATTCAGATCTCCCCAACCAACCCAGATGTTATGTACTTGTGTATGAGGATTAATCTCGGAGCTTTGTGTGCGCAGCTGTTGAAATGAATGGGGTGCAGAACAGAAGGGTTCACAATGTTGAGAAACCTTTTCCAGGATGCTTGGGAAGAATGGTAAACCTCTTTGATTTAACTGCTGGAGTAAATGGAAACAAGCTACTCACGGACAAGCCACATCATGATGGTCGTCTCTATCTCTCTTTGTTTACTCTTTTTTATTTGTTTGCCTCATTGCCCTTGGAAGATGATCTTGCTTAGTCCATGATTGACTCTTTATTTGGAATGTTTATGCACTTACGTTCAAATTAGTTTGTGGTTTTGGTAGAGAGTGGTGGGTTGAGGTGATGATGAAGAGGAAACATAGAAAATTGTATAATTTGTAGTATTTTTTAATACCCTATTTTCCTTGTGGTTTTTATTTGGAGCTTATTTCTTTTGGGTTTTCGTTGACTGAGTTTTGGATAGAAACCTTTCTCTTGGTGATCTGTCTGGTTTTAAATGTCCTGGAGCATCATGAAACCCAGCTGGAGGTTTCTCTAAATTGTCATTTGCTTTTATCTATTTCCAAGTTGTATGCAATAATTGTACTTTTGATTTCTGCCTTTGACATTTTGCTTTGCCATTATATTATCCAGTCTTAATCTCACGAAATTTTACCTCACTTGCAGCATCTTCAGTTTCAAGAAGTCAATCAGATGTTGCGAGGATCATGAGTCCTCCATTTGGTGATCATGTAGAGGATAAGCTGGTAATTTGGAGAGGATTATTCGTTATTGTCATTAAAGCTAATTGGTTGAAATTCAAAAAGAAAAGATAAATGATGTGATATAGTCATGTGGAATGTTCTTTTCTTTTTTAATTTATTAGATGCTTTGCTGTACTTTTTTTATTTATTTTCCATTTTCATGGACTTTGCAGATTGTTTCTGACTCAATGAGAGCATCTTCAAAGAAGAAAATAAACGGAACACCCATCAAGATGCTCATAGACCAAGAAATGTCCAAAGAAGTTGTTTCCAAGCACAATCCACCGAATGTAGTAGCAAAATTAATGGGACTTGAAGCCATCCCATTGGGAGAGCCTAATTTAGCTGTGGAGGGAAGCCAAAGAGGAGTTTATTCTCAACATATGTGTGGTCATTCAGGGACACCATTCAAACATTGGCAGCTGGAAGATAGGTTTATGGACAAGGAAATGCTTCATGAAGTTCATCCAATCACAGAACAGATTGCTTATAAAGATATTTATGATATATGGCTGCGGTCACAGAGAACAAGCAATCTAAGAGACAAGACACCAGAGAGAGAAAAGTGGACTGAAGATGTTAATGGGAAAAAAATGGCTCTCATTCACCAGAAATTTTTGGAAGCAAAACGTCTATCTACGGATGAGAGACTGCGCCAGTCCAAGGAGTTTGACGATGCCTTGGAAGTTTTAAGCTCCAATAATGATCTATTAATCAGGTTATTGGATTCTCAAAATCTTTATGAACTTCAGTCTACTCCACTAGCTGAGACAAAGCGTATTACTGTTCTTAAACCTTCAAAGATGGCTGACAATGAAAAATCTGGTGGAAAGGGGAAAAAGAACGACAAGCAGATCAAGAAACCAGCAAATGTTGGGGCTGCATGGGAGAAAAATAGCCCTGTGTACTCTCCAGCCAGTCAGAAAGTTGATGAGTTCCCAGTTCAACCTACTCGAATAGTGGTATTGAAGCCTACCTCTGTGAAGACACATGAGATTAAGGCTGTGGGTTCTCCAACGATGTCATCACCTCAAAATCTGCAAATTGGAAATTTGTTTCAGGGACCTGAAGATGATGGTGCACTGGAATCGAGAAAAGTGGCCACAGAACTTACACAGAAAATGCATGAAAACATAATTCATCAAAGAGATGAAACTTTGTATTCTTCAGTATTTTCCAATGGCTATATTGGTGATGCGAGTTCATTCAACAAATCAGACCATGAGTATACTGCTGGAAATTTTAGTGATTTGGAAGTTATGTCACCATCTCCAAGGCATTCTTGGGATTACATCAATCGCTGTGGCAGTCCTTTTTCTTCGTCATCCTTCAGTCGTGCATCCGGGTCTCCTGAGTCATCAGTATGCAGAGAGGCCAAGAAACGACTTTCTGAAAGATGGGCCATGATGGCATCAAGTAAGGGTCCTCAGGAACAAAGGCATATGCGGAGAAGCTCTACCTTGGGTGAGATGCTTGCTCTTTCAGATATAAAGAAATCTGTAATATCTGAGGTTGAGGGTATTAATAAAGAACAAGAACCAAGTGAATCTGTTTCCTACAGTCGAAATTTATATGAAGAAGTACATGTTGATGGTTCTCCTAAAAACCTCCTCAGGTCAAAATCTGTCCCTGTATCTTCTACTGTCTATGAAAGTGGGCTCAATGTTGAAGTTTGTGATAACGATGCTGGCAAAGCACATGACTCCAAGGAACTGACAAAGTCAAAGAGTATGAAATCATCATTTAAAGGGAAAGTTACGAGTTTTTTATTCTCAAGGAATAAGAAATCAACCAAGGAAAAATCTTGTCTATCTCAAATAAAAGATGAGTCCCAATCTTCTGTTGCTGAAACATCAGTATCTCCAGTAAATTCAACTGGAGACATTAGGGATGATGTGTCTCAAAGCTTCAACAGTGGCTCCTTTGGAGAGTGTTCTCTTCCATCTCTATATGAATCATCAGGCAAAACTTTATCAGATTCTGTCTCTAACGAACAAGGCGTAATATCTCTGGAGGTAATAGCTACTATTCTACATATTTCGATGTACTTTTTTATGGTGCATTATGCAAATTTTCTTTCGTTTGCTGTTGGCTACTTAAGGTCACTCCTTAACGCCCTCTAAATCTCACACCTTCTCAGTCCCTTGGCCCCCTCTCTCCTTCAAAAGAAGGGAAAGAAGAATCGAAACGAACAGAAATACAGAAAGGAAAAACTGTACGAGTATAGATTGCTACTTCTAAACTTTAATGTTGTTGAGTTGTAGTGCTGGCTTTTTTTTAATCTGTATCAAGTTCTTGGTTGGTAACATGATAAAAACAGTCTTTAACTGTGGAATCCTAAGTATTTCTTCATGATCCAGAGGTAACTTTGTGCCTTCTCTAACTTGCTAATTAAATTAGTCCCTTGAAACTTGTGCTGCTGTAGAGGTGCTTGCGTGAATTGTAGGCTGCATGGTGTGCTGTTAAGGAAATTGGATGATATGGTGGTAGGTTCTATCTAAGCAAACCAATTCGTTTGACAAATTGTTTGGGATTTTCTTAATGTTTTGGAATCGGGAAACAAATGAAAACATACCTGGTTATAAACATCATTGGTTCCTGATTACTACTTGATAAATAATAGAACTAACTTTTCTCAGTCAGCCAAGACTTATTACAGTAAAGCTCAACTTCTTTTATTTCTTGTTATCATTGATTATGGAATGATAAACTGAATGCCATATTATATACTGGGATCACATAAGTAAAATCTTTTTTCTGTACTGGAAATTGGTAAATAAACTGGAGGATTCTGAGACAGTTTTGTTAATTTTCACAGCCCGGGTTGACTCTGTCAAAGCCACCGGTACCAGGGATTTCAAGCGAAAACCAGGATCAGCCGAGTCCAATCTCAGTTTTAGAACCTCCATTTGAAGATGATAATGCAGCTCATGAGTCCTTGGACCGTATGAAGGGCGGTCAGCTGGGTAATGCTTAGGCCTTTCTCTCTCTCTCTATCCCTGTTCCTGCTAGGAAATTCTTAAATGATAATCATTGTTATCTTTATTGGTTTATTACCTGACTGCCATTTATTCTGTAGGATCACGGGTGTCTCTGAAGTCTAACTTAATTGACAAATCACCACCTATAGAATCAATAGCTCGGACCCTCTCATGGGATGATTCTTGTGCAGAGGTGGCAAGTCAGTACCCATTAAAGCCTTCGTTGGTTTCCTTAGACACCAAGGTAGAGGATCAAGACTGGCTTGTCTTAGTCGAGAAACTACTATCAGTTGCTGAACTTGATGATCAAGTGCAATCTAACTCGTTTTACTCTAGATGGCATTCCCTTGAAAGCCCATTGGATCCATCATTGAGGGATAAATATGCCAATCTCAATGACAAGGAAACTCAGCCTCTCCATGAAGCCAAGCGAAGGCAGAGAAGATCTAATCAGAAGCTTGTATTCGATTGTGTCAATGTTGCACTAATAGAAACCACTGGTTATGGATCAGAGAATTACTTAATGGCCATGTTGTGGAGTGGGGGCCACAGCAGGCTCCAAGTCACAGAGGGTGCACCTCCCCCATTGGTGGACCTCATCATGGCCCAAATGAAGGAGTTAATATCTGGTGGGATAAGATCTGTTTGGGGGCATTGTGGGGACAGCAACAGCCTGGTGGTGGAGAGTGTTGTCAGGAAAGAGGTTGTGGGGAAAGGGTGGGTTGAGCTTATGCAATTGGAGATGGATCTTTTGGTGAAGGAAGTAGAGGGGAAGTTGCTAGAAGAACTTGTGGAGGATGCGGTGGTTGATTTGACAGGCAGGGCCTAAATGGTTGAATCCCTGATGTGTCTTTCCTCTTTGTTTTTTAATGTTGTAACTCTATTATTGTTGTATTCGATTATCAACGCATGGCCCTACTTCCCTAATTTCATTAAAAGTTGCTAAAAGAATTGTTTCAATTTATAGTTATTTTATATTAATGTAGCTGTAATTTATTAATTACCTGAAACAAAGAATAAAAAGAATTATACGGATTATAAGAATTATAAATTGGTTTCCTTTTTTATCTCCGGGGGAAAAGTGAATAATTTTTATAAGTAAGAATGACTAGCTGAAATCTGGATAGGTCAGAAGGTTGTTAGTGTTACGTCGAAAGATGCTACCATCTCGAACTTAACCCAGAAAAGTAAATTCAGGTGTTGCAAATGGCAACCCTAAAAATATGATGACAGCGAAAAGAACAGCAAAAGCAGATCGATACATTGTAATACGTGTATAAAGTAATTCAGTTCTGACAGTAGAACAATATAGTAAATACATAATCGGTCTTGAGTACTCAATCATCAATATCTGAACGCCGAGTGTGTATTTGGTCACATAACATTGTCATAGACTGTCTCAGAAGGTACAAATGTAGCTAGGTGACCCAGTACTTCAGTTGGGTGTTGGAAATGAGTAGGTGATAGAAAGATTTTAATTTAATTTTTGATACACCCAAAATTTCGAATTAATTTTACAGGTGATTCAAAAAATCGAATCCATAAAAATACCGAAGTGGTTCAATTCGTTCTAAAAAAACAATTAGGATCGATAAAAAAAAAATGCAGCCATAGCTGTGGTACAACACCATCTGTACAACTTGTATGGAACATGGACCCACCCTAACCCCAAAAGAGAGGAACAGTTCAATTCTCTATTTCCTGTCTGGCTCCCATTAAATCATGAATCATGATGAATGAATAGATTAGATTCACGAGTCACAAGGCCAGAATGATGATGGCTTTTTCGCAACCTTACGGTCACGATTCTAATTACCAAAATATAGAGAACAAAGCCGAATGAGAGCATGTTCAATTCATGCACAACTATAGTATACCAGTACTTAGGTTACAAAAACATAGCACCGACACTCTCAATGCAGCGTGCCCTTTACCTAGTAGTTGTCTCCTATTGTCACTAAATGAAAGCCTAAATTACTTTCCTCGGTTTTATATTTTGTTTTCAAACTATAACAGAAGAGACTTTGAGTGACAAAATTTAAGGGACGATTTTGTGCAATTTATTATTTGATTTTATATTTTTTAAAATACATGAAACGTTTGTGTAATACAACAAAATAAAATTAAAATGAAAGCCTAAATTACTTTCCTCGGTTTTATATTTTGTTTTCAAACTATAACAGAAGAGACTTTGAGTGACAAAATTTAAGGGACGATTTTGTGCAATTTATTATTTGATTTTATATTTTTTAAAATACATGAAACGTTTGTGTAATACAACAAAATAAAATTAAAATACAAGGAAATTGTAACTAGTTTAACTCATAGTGTTATGTATCTGTCTACTTGGATTCCTATCTTCTTTCCTAGCTATAATTTAATTTGAGATTCTCCTACAACACATGTAGTGTCGCATATACTAGGAAAAGTATGTGGTCCAAGAACGACTCACAAGTTGAAACAAGTATCTCCTCCATTTATTTATTATTTCTTCTGGTTTTTTGAACCCGTTTGAGGTTCATAAATGTGTTTCAAAAAAGGTGAAGTATGTCAATTTACGAGTGTTTACAATGACAATTGTAAAGACCAAGGCACTGTAAAAGTTTCTCATGGTGCTGTATATCAAAAGGGGAGTGTGTGTAGATGGCTAAAGTGACTCTCCATTGTAGTAAAGTAATAGTATGAAAGGTGAATAGAGAAGAAGATATCCCTTCAATATGTAAAGTGGGTCTTTAAAGAGAGAGTGTCTCTCTGAAGCATGAGAGAAGGTGTGGTGAGATGTCTCATAATCAGGGGTAGCAGTGCAAAGAGAAAAAAAAAAAATTTTATATGATACCTTCTAGAAGATTCTAGATGCGAACTTTAATATTGGGCCCAATAAATTAGGCCTAAAAAAGAGCCTTCCACTATAGTTTTTATCTCTTGTGGCCTAATTTATAGATTTTGTTTTGTTTGAAAAAAAAAAAAAGGATTATTCAGGATCACGTGGGCCAAAACTGAAGTTATTTAAAAATAAAAAATGTAAATCATTCAAAAAGTATTACATTTTTATTGTATGTGATAAAATAAGTGCAAATTCAACAATTGAAAATTCATACTGTTATTATGGCATACTCAATATGCCAATTAGCTTAGCTTGGAAAGTTGGCAAATTCTAAAATATCCCTTGAAAAATAAAAATAATAAATAAAAGTCTTACGAACAATGAGGAAATAGAGGTAGTCAACTTAACTGTATTATTTCTCCACATGACTCGTGTAACACAACGAAAGAGAAGTAGAAAAAAGAATCATTGGACACACATGATATGAACCAGGCACTAGTCATAGTAGCTGAGTCTGAAACCTGAATCAAAAGGGTAGGGGCATTTATCAAAAGTGAGAAAAAGGAGGAGAATATTCTCCAGTGACCTGTGTTCTGGCAAATGGTTATTCACTGTGCAATTTTGAACTAGACTATAAGCCAAAACTATAGCATCTTTAGCTTTAAAAAATTGAAGCACAGCCCAGAAATCCCGTGACATCTCTATTAGCCTGTGTTTCCACAAGAAAAGCCTTTAGTATCAGTAAATAGAATAATTAACCTCATCCCATCCTTGAGATCCCAAAATTGCAGGATGAGCCCAAAGAATAAGCATGACTTTTGAAAGGGACTGAGATATTCTTTCTCACTTGTCATTTCTCTATCAAATGAAAAAAAGGATAAAGAGATGCTTCAGTATGATATGGATTGAAGAAGCTTTTGCTTTTGCTTCTTGTTCATTATAAGGATTTACAGTTTTTGTGTTTTACCGGAACATGAACAATGTTTTGTCATGGTGGATTCAGCACAACACAAGTTGCAAGGCACTCAATAGTCAATACAATGGTAACATAATCTTGAAGTAGTCGAAAATGGATTGTGCAACTAATTGTGAATATTAATTTTAAGTAGTTAACACCTCCTAATTTTTCAAATTACATTCTTTTGTATACTCCTAAATTATCTTTTACTTTATACAAGAATCACATTAGGAATACACTAATTAAATGCAAAATAATATATAGCACATCTTTGTGTGTCCCTAACATTTTTTTAATCCGGAATTACTTAAGTCAAAATAATAGCCAAAGCAAGCAGGAAGACTTTGTACAATATTTTAACATGTATATAATCTTGAATATTGGCAATATAGCTAGCTATCATGCATGTTCATTTATCCCACAATACATGTCCAATCCCACAAACATGTTCAATCCAATGTCCGAACTATAAAAGTAAAAAAATGACATAAAAAAAAAAATTAAACTTCATGACAAGGAGTATATGATAGTAAAGTTCAAGTGCGGATAACGTAATAATATTTTAGATGAAATATTGTTTTATTTTATTATTGTTTTTCAATCTGAATTGGATTAATTTTTAAAATTAAAATTCAAAACCATTCTAATAATTTAATTAATTGTTTTAAAATTTTCAACTTATTAAGGCTTTCAGGTTTTTCACTTGATTTTTTTTTTTGAGTAAATACAATTTTCGGTTCTCAGCAAATTTCACGATGTCCGCTTTAGTCCTTAGTAAATAAAAAGGCTATTCGTGGTCTCTAAAAAATTCAAAATGCACTCATTTAGTTGAAATTGTGGTCCCTCACAAATTCAAAAAAGACCTACATTAGTCCCTCAAAAGGATTAAAATAAGTCCATTTTGAATTTCTTAAGGCCTACGAATAGTCTTTTTATTTGCTAGGAACTAAAGCGGACATCGTAAAATTTGCTGAGGATCAAAAATGGTATTTACTTTTTTTTATTTTTTTTTGTCTAAATCATTAAGGTCTTCACACTGCCACAAATTATGTTCTAAAAAAGGAAATAGTAATGAAATTTGGAGCAAGACCCAGACCCAAAGACGCTTTGGTGGTTGGCCTGAGCAAGAAGGCATTTAATAGATAAGTTGGAATGTTCTTGGAGATGTTGACCGAACAAACACTAACAATTAAAGGAGAATATAAAAAATTTGATAGTTAAATTAAAGGGTTTTATATTTCCCATGATGTCATATGAGATGAGTTTTCTTATGCCATAGAAACAAAAAGCGTAAACACCCTTTTTGGTTCCTGGCAATATCTACGAAATCCTTTTTAGTCCCTGGCAATAAAAAAGGACCAAATTGGTCCCTAAAATTATGAAAAAAGGGCTATGTTAGTCCTTATGTCAACTCCTCCGTCACTAACGTGACCCTTTTTACATACTGTTAGGGACCAATTTGGTCCTTTTTTATTGCCAGAGACTAAAAAGGATTTCGTAGATATTACCAGGGACCAAAAAGGGTGTTTACTCAAACAAAAATTATGTGATATCCATATATTTGAAAAAGTTATATACGGGACCCTGTCACTACGTAAATCGAAGAGTATATAGGAAAAATTTTCTTCTCATATTACATGAGAAGTATAAAACCCTAAATTAAAGGGGGAATGATATACTTACCACCAAAAAAGTTTACCACATTTGCAATCAACCTAATCACCGTTGATTTCCGTCAATCTAACAGTTATAATTTCTTGAATTTAATGGGAATTAATAATTAATTAATAAATCCGATCTAATATTTTTTCAATAAATTATAACCGTTACATTGATGGAAATCAACGGTGATTAAGTTGGTTGTAAATGTGGTAAAAAAATTTGGTGGTAAGTATATGCTACCCCAAAAGAAATATTCTCTTTTGACTATAAGTATATATTATTATCTTTTTAAGTTATAAGTATTTTAATTTAGGGCAGGATATACTTACCACCAAAAAAGTTTATCACCTTTACAACCAACTTAATCACCGTTAATTTTCGTCAATCTAACGGTTATAATTTATTGGAAATTATTAGATCTCATTTATTAATTAATTATTAATTCCCATTAAATTCAAGAAATCACTACCAATGGACTAAGCTATATCACCGATATCAAGTGACTTCGACACAATGTCTCAATCCCAAATTTTAAAGTATTGAGTGAAGCTACATTAATAAATTTTTACCTCTCTCACAGACCTTCTGACGCAAGAGTCATTTGGGTTCTATCTTGTTCTTACTTAATTCCATTAGAAAGAGAGGCGATAAGGATCAAACTTATCACTTGGTCACTCCATCTCTGATATCATGTAAAAAATCATTTTAATACAACACCTTAAAATATTTGGTGAAACAACATTAATAATTTTATATATACGTAGTATAGAAGCTAGGATATATACAGTGTTACTATGCGCTCATGCGTTTCACCATTTAGATAACAGAACATTACTTTAACATATGTGTATTGTAATTGTTATAAACGTTAGAAAAAAACAAAAAAATAAAGTGTGTTGCATTTTGTGCTTAGGTTTTTTGGTGTACGCACCTTAAAACCTATCAAAATTAAGTCTTTAAACCTAATTTTGGACAAACCAATCCTCAGCTTCAACTAATTACATATAAGCTTCATCTTATTTAGATATACAGCTATTAAACATCTATTATTGAAGTCTTATGATCAATATCCGACGCACTTCGTCAATGAATATTGAATGCCACCGTTAAATGGCATTGCAAGGGGTAGGTGTACATGAAAAATGCTATGGTACCCTACTTTCCATTTTTGTAGGTTTTGTCATTAGAGTGATAAGACAATCAATTTTTTCCCTTATACGTGTAATGGAGGAAGTTATTTCCACCAATGTTGCTGAGTTTTCATTTATCTTAAAAAACGACCCAAAAGCATATATACTATGTTTGATTGAAATCCTAGTAAATTGGAAATTTCAAGTGGGTGCACCAAATAAATGTGCATTGTTAGTGGCAGCTTTCTGCTTCCCATTCGATGTAGCATTTCATTGAAACATTTTTGGAAGGGGAAAAGAAAAGTTGAGAATTGAGATTGTATACATTTACCTTAGCCATTTATGCAATTCACATGGGTACTTAACTTCATATAGCAACCTAATAAATTGGATTCTATTGGGAATCGCAACTTGAATAGCAAAGTTCATAGGCTGCCAGCTGAGAAAAATTTCAAGTCAATGCAGCTTGACAATTACGTTTTCATTATTATTATTATAGAAGTATTTAATTTTTTTTTTTAAGAAATAAAATTATCTCATACATATATAAAAATATGTAGGGCTCATGCAGAAAGAGAAACTAAAATATGAATCCATATACTTTTATAAATTTGTAGAATATAATTTTATGTCAATAAACCTGATATGGATAATTATTATACAAATACAAGGCCCAGAATCAAAGCCTTTACAATGAAGCAAAGCTCTTAGTCCACAAAGGCTGCAAAACTCATCTCTCCAAGCTGCACAATATTAAAGGCTATCACAGCAAACAACACAAACTTGAAGACTCCATGACAGCAAGCTCCTCAACATTTAACCATGACAGTCATACTACTTTGGCACCAAAGAACTTTTGCCTTCCCTATGAAGAAAGACATCTTCCAAGGAGCATATCACTCCACTATAAATACATGTATCAACACTAAGGTACATCATCTTCTCCTACATAATAAAAACTTGAGCGTCGGAGTGTCTTGCAGGTACACCCCCATCGCGTTCCATAGAAGACCCATGGATTAAAGCTGCTCCAAACTTCAAACTGCAAGATGCTCTGACCCAAGGAGGTTCCAGGCCTTTGTGTAGAGGAAGATCACATGATCGACCCAGTTGTAAAGATTTGGTCGGATCAAAACCTTTATTAAAAGAGTGGGTCGCCCTTCCAATTAGCATATATATGTAAAAAGACACTCTTGCATCATGGCAGTGGTGGACCCAGAATTTTTTTTTTATTTCTTAGGATATTTACGGCGCTGGTAGTTTAATATAAGTTTAATCGTAATAAAATAGTGTTTATTTATATATATGCTTCTTAGGATATTTACCTAACACATCGTACGATTTCTCCTCCACTTAAACCAAAAAAAAAAAAAAAAATCTCAAATTTTGTGTCTGCATGTGCAGACACAGTCACCAATGTCCGTCCGCCATTGCATCATGGTGATAATTTATTGATAAAAGTAAATATCCAATATGTAGATAAGCATACAATCATAATCTGAGTTTGAATTTCAGCTTTATTAATTATTGAGGGTCATATTATTATTATAATTATTCTGTTTGTATTAATTCCTGAATCATTGCATTTTGGTTGAATTAAAAAAGCAAATTACTAAGTACATATAAAATAATGTCGGACACCACCTTACTTCTACAGTTAAAAGATATTGATACAAAATAGTAATGGCAGATTTTAGATACATTTATGGTGAGATATTTTCTAGCTAATCGTGTTGCTTTAACATAATCCCTGTGAAAAGTAAATTGAATTCTATATGCGAGTTTCAGAAAAGTGTAATGTCCCTTAAAATATCTCAAGACTTTTTCCTCCATATTGAGTTGACACTAAATTGACACCAAGTCACCAACCATCTTAAATGACAGTAAAGTTTCCACTTTTACTTCCACATAACATGTCTGGATACTGTCCTTCTTACAAGCATTCCTTATATCATTCTTAGGAGACAACGGATAAACTTGTTGAATTACACATGTCTTCTCACTCCCCCGTAAAGTTAAATCACACATCAATTATTTGTTGAATTGATTTCCTTTCGCAAAAAAATTAATTTATTACTTTTTTAATAAAAAATTACAAAAAAGTTATCGTTTTGCAAAAAATTACGAATCTATAGCACCCAAACACGTCCACATGGGGCGTGTTCTGATGGAGAAAGACACACCCATGTGGGGCGTGAGCTTGTGAAAGAAACACGCCCAAGGTAGGGCGTGTGTGGCAGGATAGAGACACGCCCACGATAGGGCGTGAGCTATGAAGCAAACACGGCAAAGGAAGGGCGTGTTTCAGGAGAGAGACACGCCCACGATAGGGCGTGTTATCCGCGGTGTATATAAATCCGTTTTTCACTTTTTTACCTCATTTCCACCCTCCCATCCTCTCTCTAAACCTCCTCCTCCTCCTTCTCTCTAAATTTCTTTTGGAGGATTTTGCGCAGCGAAGCTCTGTCTCTCTCTCATGTAAGTCCCTATTTATTGATTTTTTTTTTTATTAACAGCAATTAATATATGATAGTTATTAGCGACTTAGATAATTGTTAGGGGGTTAGAAAAATATTTGTGACTTTATTTAATTGTTAGGGGGTTAGAAAAATATTTGTGACTTTATTTAATTGTTAGGGGGGTTAGAAAAATATTAGTGACCTATGTAAGATTGTGATGTGACTTATATATTATATGGACTTACAAATTAATTAGTTACTTCTAAATTGGTATATGTTGGTTTTATGACTTATTTACACACTTAGAAATTAGTTTGTCACAATTAATTTTTTTTTATGAAGGACACTTGCAAACATATTGACCTTTCAATTAACCACATTGTAATTAGGGTTAAAGACGAATGAATAACGTATGCAATATTAATTTAAATTGAATTTGAATTAATATTTGTATTGAAATATATTGATAGAATAATGTAATGTTAAATGAATTAATTGTCAATGATGTTAATGTAATTGAAATTAATATAACAATTGAAGTTATTAGTTAAATGCTATTTAATTAAGTGCAATTAAATTTTATTTAGTGTAAATTAATATAATATCAATACTAATTTGGGTACATCTTTTTCATCTGTAGTAGTTTCTATTATGGCCCATTCGTCTTCATCAGAGTCCTCGCGCTCTGGATCCGATGGTGATCTTGAGCCATCCGATCCTTGTACGCATGTACTTCCTGATCCATATAGGTGGGAGGTACTCCGTAAGAGGACACAACGCAGTCACGTTTCACAAGTTGTGTGGAACGAGGATACGGTTAGGGGGTTAAAGACGAGGCGAGGGAAACTTCAGGGGGGACCCCATCACGATGATATACCAGATGTTGTCGCTGACTATTTGACACAGGCTGGGTTCATACACGTGGCACGTATGAGTCATGTTCAGGTATGTAATGTTCAAATAGCTTAATTAAATTACCGTATGTGGACTTTGTATAATTGTTGTTTTTCCTTCAGATCGATACCCCCTTGATATCTGCTTTGGTTGAGCGTTGGAGACCGGAGACACACACATTTCATATGACGCAGGGAGAGATGACCGTTACATTACAGGACGTGGCTGGTATACTTGGTTTGCCTACTGACGGGCAGGCAGTTACCGGATCTACAGCGTTGGATTGGATTGCTATGTGTGAGGAGGTTTTTGGGACTGCCCCAGTTACGGGCACAAACATTCATGGATTGAAATTAAAAAAAATTAAAATAAAAAATAAAATAATTTTAAAAAAATACGGGTCGACACGAACACGAATACATCAACACGAACACGACACGAATTTTTTACGTGTCATTTTTTCCAACACGACACGAATTTTTTTGCAGGTCAACCCGAACACGAATTTTCGTGTCGTGTCGAGGGTCGACCCGCGTGTCAAAACCTATATTGACACCCCTAGTTTTCATCATTAACTATTCCTTCTTTTTTATTTTTCTGGATACAATTACTCCTCCTTTCGAAAAAAAGAGAAATATTCTTGTATAAATTAAGTGGATTAAATAAGTAAATTATTAACGCATCATTAATTCTTATTAAATAACTTTTATGCTCACTAGTAAATTAATGATATATCAATATACATTAGAATTGAAATACAAGTGAAAGTAACAGGGTAATAAAGTAATAAACTGTTATATAAGACCATTGAAAGCCAGCCTTAGATTTCACACAGCAATTAGCTATTACATTCCAACATTTAGAAGAAGCCAACAACATTGCTAAGATAATCAAGCTCATGTCAAGTAACAGAGTCTTCCTCCTGGTCCTAGTCACCTTGGTGGTGGTGGTGGCAATCATTGTCGTTTCACCAAAGACAGCAGAAGCAGCTCGAACTTTCTTCGTGTTTGGGGACTCATTGGTTGACAGTGGCAACAACAATTACTTGCCAACCACGGCACGTGCTGACTCACCCCCTTATGGCATTGACTATCCCACTCATCAACCCACTGGACGCTTCTCCAACGGCTTCAACCTCCCTGACCTTATTAGTACGTCAATCACATATAATGTGTATATATATTCAACCATACATAACTCATGATGATACTGCATATGCTACCCTTCAATTGTTCCTTTGTTGAATATATGGTCATTGTGGTGCTAATGACACATGATGATATTGTTTTACATGGGGTGTGAAATGTGAATGTTATTGTAGGCCAGCAAATTGGGTCTGAACCTACATTGCCATACCTGAGCCCTGAATTAAATGGAGAAAAGCTCTTGGTTGGGGCCAACTTCGCTTCTGCTGGTATAGGAATCCTCAATGACACTGGCATCCAATTTGTAAATCTCTGCTATCTCACTTTTTTCTCTCCCTTTGATAAATAAATATAAATATAATGTTCACTCTTTACATGGTATCACATGCTCTCGGAGAATAACATGTAAATAACCAATTCTCTGTGCATATACATAATATTATGCATTTATATTATTAACTTGGTCCTTACCAACTAACTTTAAAACTTGCTATTCTCTTAGGGGGTGTTTGTTTTAGAATATCTCAAAAACTTTCTAGGAAAGTGCATGTTGCATTCTCGTTCTCCGCATTTGGTAGAATGAAATCATGACTTTTACCTATGAAAAAGAGTTGCCTATCTAATTACAAATGCATGTAAAAAAGGTACTTCTACACTATTAACGAATGCTGTTTGCAAGATGGTATTTCTTGAAAAAATGGAGAAATTGAAAAAGTGGATGAAAATCAAGACAAGAATACCCCTATTCTTAACCACATGTAACATTCAAAATTTTATAAAAAGGTTACTTTCGTAATTTCTATTTATTTTTCCATCAAATTTTTATTTTCAACCAAACATACACTCAGCATATTTAAGCCAATTTTCCTAGTAATATTTTGCGGTACCAAAAAACTTTTTTTAAATTTTCCTACCAAACTTACTTTCCGACGTTTTTTTCTTTGTAATTACATTTTCCTAGTAAAAAAAATTTCTATTGAACCAAACACTCCCTTATCTCTATTTGGAATCAGGCTGAAAGGTTTTGATTAACTTTGAATTAACAACATTGGGGTATTAAAATTTACAACAGGTGGGTATAATCAGAATGTGCCAGCAGTTTGCATTGTTCCAGCAGTACCAGGAAAGGTTAAGTGCAGCTGTAGGGGCAGACCAGGCTCAAAGGGTTGTGAATGGAGCTCTGGTCCTCATGACAGTGGGTGGTAATGACTTTGTTAACAACTATTTCTTAACTCCTTTCTCTCCCAGGTCTCACCAATTCACTGTCCCCCAGTTCTCTAGCTACCTTATCACCGAGTACAGAAAAATTCTCATGGTAATTCTTTCTCCTCTGCTTTATCTTTTTTGTTACTTTTCTCTTCCTCTCTGGCTTTGATGTTTGCCACGGAGTTGTTGGTCGCTGAAACAACATGATATGCACTTCTAATAAGAACTCGAAGTGAATCTTGAGGTTGAAAGTAATTCATGTAACGTCGTAGGTTCTAAGGTAAAAACTAAAAACTAACCAAAAAATTGTGATGCGACTGATACAGCAGTATGTTCCTTTTTTGTTGAGGAAAATTTTCAACTGTTACATTTACTTGGTTTCTTGAAATGTACCTAAATTTAATGATATAAACAGAGAAAAATTGATTGACTTTTGTAATTGTAAATTCTTAAGTTTTTCTTGCAAAAATGATGGTTGAACGTTAACTTACATAACCTTCTAATTGCCTGATCCAATTTCTGATTCGTACAATCATGATATCATGTTCCACTCATAAAAGATGGAAATAAATTTGGTTTATCCTTTAACCCAATTAGCCTGGTTTAATTTGGTTCCTTCACTTAGGTGGAAAAAAGTGAGTTATATTACTTTCTTGATAGAATTATGTTATAGCGTATTTTACAGTTTAAAAATGCTGCAAGCCATCTTAATTCTCATATGTTGTGTTGTTCAACTTCTTGGTCTGTGTTGATTGAATTTAATTAAAGTATACAGTGTTACTAAATGTTGATGCAGAGGTTGTATGAGTTAGGGGCTCGTCGTGTGCTTGTGACAGGAACTGGTCCACTAGGTTGTGTTCCTTCTCAGCTTGCTATGAGAAGCAGGAATGGGGAGTGTGCGCCAGAGTTACAACAAGCTGCACAGATTTTCAACCCTCTTCTGGTTCAAATGATCAGAGATCTCAACTCCCAACTCGGCTCTGACGTTTTTGTTTCTGTCAATGCCTTTCTTATGAACATGAACTTCATTACCAACCCTCAAAAATATGGTATATGTATTGTTTTCAAGATTAATTTTATTTGTGTTTCTGCTTATTGTGTCACTCATATATATACACATGCATGCATTTTCAAGGGTGAACCAATGCTTCTTTATCTTAATTGTAGGTTTCGTTACATCAAAGATAGCATGTTGCGGTCAAGGTCCATACAACGGGCTGGGATTGTGCAACCCCTTGTCGAACCTGTGCCCAAATCGTGATCTCTATGCATTTTGGGACGCTTTCCACCCATCACAACGTGCACTCAGGTTTATCGTTGATGATATGTTCAGGGGAACCAGCGACCTTATGAGCCCTATGAACCTCACCACCATCATGGCCATGGACTCCAACATCTAATATAGTATACACTTTAATTTATAGCATGCTTATTGTTGGATATATTAATAATATATTTCAATAATATGATGATATACAAACTCAATAGATGAAAGCATGGTTATTTGAATTTATATGGGTTGGAACCTAATAGTTTAGGTTATCTATAGAGTTTCCTAAACTGAGTATTCCAAACTTGATATCCGTTGGTATAATACTTCAAACACTTCTAAATTCTTTTCTCTCAAATCCATAACCTTCAACAGTTATGTGGTGTGCGTGATTAGCCGGTGAAGAAGTTTCAATATATACTGTATGCAATTTATTCTACAATATATGACAACAAAAAATGTAGGATACATTATTTTTTGTTACCATTATTTATATTATTATGCTTTATATTTCATCTCCGATGCATTAAATATTATACAAAAATGATGAGATTTTATTTTCATATAATTCCGTCCATTTCATCACCAACATCTGTACCTTACTTCCGTCATCTTCTATTCTATTTTTGTTCTCTTACTTACCAGACACATGACGTTTGTTTCATTTCGTTTCTCTTGATTCCCATGATATTGCGTATACAAAAGAATGTATATTGTACGAGCCCAACATCATTGGACCCAATCTCCCATGGAGCCTCAGCTGGGGAACTTTCACAGCCCACATTGAAATTTGAAAGTAAATAGATTTTTTAGAGTTTAAAATAAAAATGCACCAAATACAGTTTAATACAACGGTTGATGATTCTCAAATTTGTATTATTTTAATTTTTATAATAAAATATAAATAAATTAAGGATTGAGATTGTCTAGAAATTTTTTTTATTCTATTTTTTTTCTGAGATGTAACATATTAGCTAGTTCCGTAATTGTCCATCATATAATAAGTAATATCATCAATCATGTTAATCAATTAATCAAGTTGTTTCAGTTTAATCAATGCTACTAAGTTAGGAAAATTTGTTATTTTTCGTCGAGGACTCTTATAGGATGATTTGTAAAATATAATAGAATACTTTTTTCTCTAACTTGCTTCATTTTTTGAATCTTTTTAACTTAGAGTGGACTCGAAATAAATCTCAATCAGTTATGCAAGAACTCAGCCTCTCGAACCTTACATATTGGATTTTTTATTTTATTTTATGTTCTAAGAATTTCATAAGAAAAAACAAAACATAAATATTTTACGTCTTATAAAAATAAAAGGTGTAATATAATAATGTAATAATGTCATTATATATACAAATATGTGTAATTCAATCAAGAAAAAACAAAACATAAATATTTTACGTCTTATAAAAATAAAAGGTGTAATATAATAATGTAAGAATTTCATTATATATACAAATAATCTTTCAACTTTGAGTTTCACCAACTTTTAGCATGTGTTACGCTACAAATAAATTGCATATATTATCAACTTTCTTCCATACACTATAGTGGCATATAATCTTCTCATCTACATAGTTCTAAAGATCAAAGCGTATGTTATTAATGCACCGCACAAGTATACAATTACCCTCACCTAGAACTGTCATTCGACAACAAAGAATCGCTTTGAGCATTGTTGGAGTCCTCAGCCATACTCATCCTCATGCATGAAAAGACTGAAGGAAGATTTTATTGAATTAATCAAGTATTTACCATTTTATGATGTATTTATCTTTTATTGGAGAAATATAGACACAAACTTACATCTGGAAATAATTGTAGTTGTCATCCCAATATTCAATACAGTTGGTGGACACTCGGGATCTAGAGAGGCAGAATCAGCCGGGATGGGGGAGAGAAATAAGACGGAAAAGGACATGAGAGAAACATATAGACTGTGAAAGACATTGGGATGTAGTGTGAGAAAGAGACGATGATTTCGTGATCATGCATATATCAATACCCCTAATCTCCTTCTATTCCATCCATCTGGACTATATGCAGCCTCTGAATATCAGTCCTTGCACCTAACAACTAATTTTGTTATCTTTCTAGTCAAGACACAATTATAAAACATACTAAGCTTCACACTCTACTCATTTAAAAGTTGGAAGGCCGAATTCTCAAGAAGCTCGTCAGCTCATATCATGTCTGAGAAGTCCTTCTATTGTAGTGATGTAAAGAGGTAATCCAATGAGTATGGGATGTTGTAAAAACACAAAAGTCGTTTGATAAACATATAGACTATTTGCATAATATCTTCATTCGTTCTAATTAATCTCCCAACTTTGAGCTTCTCATACTTCTAGGATGTGTTACACTACAAATAAATTACATATATTATCAACTTTCTTCTATACACTATAATAGTAGAAATGGGTTGGGCTGTGATTAGTGTAGCTGGTTTAGAATTGGGTAGTGATGGGCGACTTACCCATTCTTTAGTTGTGTGATAGTCAGCAACTTGTCCCTCATAAAATTTGGTATATGCAAACGCTGCAGTTACATCTGGTGGACGATGCACAAGAACAGCACGTCGAATCTGAGGTTTCAATCCCAAAATAAATAGGCTCTTACGCATCAGAGGCGTAAGTGTAGGTATCCTCCTAGCAAGCAATTCGAAAGCAGATTGAAAATCGTGACCGAACCTTATTGCTGCAATTTAGCCAATGCACCCAGAGGATCTTCAAAATTAGAAGGTCCAAAGCGTTGGTAGAGTGCTTGCACAAATGATGGCCAATCGGGAAGATGTCCAATGGCAAATAAGGATTCAAACCAACATGAAGCAGGCATATCCATGTTAAGGGAAACCAGATCAAGACGATCTTGTTCCGGTAATTGGTGGTATCGAAAGTAACGCTCCACAAAAACACCCAAAGGTCCAGGGTCGCCAGATCCAAATCTGGGAAAATCGATGCGCATAGAACTGACCTGATTAGGAGGACGAGCATTGTTGGCTACTGGAGTGGCTCCGAGGATACCTGACCGAGGGAGGGTTGGCCAGTAGTGTGGTTATTTGAGCTTGCATAGTTTGTAGAAGAGAATAAACATCTGAATCTGGACATTGACATCATTAAATCGTTGATAAAGGGAGAGTTCTGACGTCTCCAAACGACGATCTAAGGTTCTTTCCACGGTGGTGGTCTGGTTAGTAAGATCATGAAGTTGCTGCTCGTGAGCATGGATTTGGGTGGTGAGGTCACGCAGGCGAGTATTCTCAGCCATAACTCAAAGAAAGCACCAATGTAACAGGGTCAAGGAAACATATAAAATAGGGAAAAGATGAGAGGAAATTTAGAGAGAAGAAAAGGAGAGAGAAAGAGAAATTCTGAATATCTTCTTGCCTTTACTAATGCTCTCAGCTATTTAAATTGAAATTACATGACATTAAAAGTAAATTGTGAAATAGTATCCCTACTAATGGGCTGGCCTAATAAGTTTAAACACTCAGCCCACAATATAGTCTGCCAAGTACCCAGGTTTCTTCCTAACTCTTTTAGTCTTCACAGTCTCATTAATTGGGCTAACATCCGAGCCTGTTACACTCCCCCTCTACATAGTTCTAAAGATCAAAGCGCATATTACTAAAGTACCATGTAAATATACAGTCATCCTCACCTGGAATTGTCATTCGTCACCAAAGAATAGCTTTGAGCATTATTGGAGGCCTCAGTCATACTTATCCTCATGCATGAAAAGACTGAAGGAAGATTTTATTGAATTAATCAAGCATTAATCAAGCATTTAGCATTTCCCATCTTCCTCAATAACAAGACCCCAAACTGAACCGTTCAACGTCACCTCCAAACAGAAGCGTTTTTCACTAACCAAGAACACTGTTCATCGCGATTGACCTTCTTTTTGGCGGCCATTCAACTCCGATCAGCCCCAGATAGGTTCGCAATCCTTGGACGACCTTCGCCTGAAAAGCCCAGCCCGATCGGACGTCAGACGCGCCTCCACGCGCCGCTTCTTTCCCTGCGCGTGAATCTCACGCGCCGCCAGCTTCACCGGCGCGTGACAGCGCGTGACGGTTGCTATTGGTTGCGGACCGGTGCAGTCTTGACCGACTCTCCAAGCTCGTTCTGGATCTGTGCTCACCTCTTTGATCGGACCTCGTTTGGTAATTTTTCGTGATTTTTTGGCTTCTTGGTACTATTCCTTGAGTTGTTTTGCAGTATGGCCGCTTCCGACGGTGATTCAACTCTAAACTTATCTGAAAAAAATTCTACCTCATCTGTGGTGACCCCTCTTGGTCACAATGATCTTCCAAATCTACATCAGAGTTATCGATTTGACGGATCAAATTATTTGTCATGGTCTCAGTTCATTCGTACTACCATCAAGAGTCGCAAGAAGATTGCTCATCTTGATGGCCCTGCTCCTGCTGCCACGGATCCCGATTTTGCTGTTTGGGATAATGAGGATTCTCTTATCATGACTTGGTTGTGGAATTCGATGACTCCTGAAGTGGGTCGTCATTGTATGTTCTTGTCTTCTGCTATGGAGATTTGGGAAACTGTCCGCTCCACTTATTCCTTGAAACAGGATATGGATGCGCGCTATGAATTGCGCAATAAAATATTCACTACAAAACAAGATTCTTTATCCGTGACTGAGTACTATGGCACCTTGAAGGAGTTATGGACTGAACTTGATCAATTTCAGAGTTTGAAGATGAAATGTACTGCAGATGCTACTGCTTTAGCCAAGGAGGTAGAAAATGAGCGTATTTTTGATTTTCTTGCTGGTTTGAATTCCGAGTATGATCCTATTCGGGTTCAGATACTTGGCAAAGAAACTTTTCCATCCCTTTCTGCTGTTTTCAATACTGTTCGGGGAGAGGAGAATCGTCGGGGTGTTATGATGAACCCTGATAAATCTGTCATGTTATCATCAAAAGATGGTGCTGCTTCTAAACCCACTGATGGGTCTGCTATGATTTCAACAAAAAAAGATGGTTCTACTTACAGGAGTTCCTTTCCAAAATATTCTGATGGAGCATCTTCTAGACCTAAGAAAGATGATCGCTGGTGTTCTTATTGTAAAAGAACAGGTCATATCAAAGATCTATGCTATCGC